CCTTCCCTCTCCTTCCCTCTCCTTCCCTCTCCTTCCCTTGTCATTTTCAGCAGCTTCTCCCTCTGCTAAACAAGAGAAATTGCTAAATATATAGTCATTTTTTGGGGGAAAGTACAGTGTTCAAATATTAAGTGTGCAGATAGTCAGTTAAGCAGAATATTCCCAGGTTATTTCTTATGCTGACAAAGGTAAAGCTGGTATGTGGCAAACAGTTGTATGTTAAGACACTTTTTTTTTTTTTCTTTTGCTGCAGAGTGATTCTGGGAGAATTAAATATGCCAGCGTTTTCCCTTTTATGATACACACTTTGAACTATATTGCTGGAGAGCATATGTTTTTAGCACTTGGAAGCTGTTGCAATTTCCATAATGTCCTCGGAGTGAGCCTGAGCCTTGGGGTTGATGCTTAGGCATCGAGAATAGTATTCAAGACAAATAATATTATTCCAGCAAGTTATCAGAAGGAAATACACTCTTTTTTTTCYTGTGTGTGTATGTGTGAGAATATTRTCTAGAAATGTGTTTGGTRTTTTTGAATAGTGCAGAAATTCAGATGGCAAATTCAACACAACTGTCAAAACAAGCAGCGACAATTCTTTATTAATATTCTGTTTTGTACATGAATATTTTCATGAAAATTTGATAGTAGTAACATAGACTGTTGCATCATTCTATGCTCAGTCCTCAGGTAAAATAATGTGAGTTTTGCCTAAGACAAGAAGAGGGCTGAAGCAGTGCCAGGACTGCAGACTGAGCAGCTGGAGAGGTTTTTGCTGTCTGAGAAATGGCTCTAGGTAATTGAAGATTACCAGTAAGGTACATGAGATTAGAGATGTGTTTCACTGATATTATGATTCATTCATACCATTAGACATGAGTGTGAATGGGGGTGTTCTCTAGTGTCCTCTAAATGAATTTGCATGTTTAGTACTTCAGGTTCTGTACACTACACATTCATACACATGTTGTAATTACTTTCATGCAAGAGTGTTAATTTGAAAGCTTGCTTTAATACCACAGAGATGTAGATTTTCATCCTTAGAATTTTCCTGTAGTTCTTCTCTCCCTTCCTCCCACTCCTTTTTTTTTTTTTTTTAAATGAAAGATTATATTTGCTTTAGTTTTAGTACCAGAAGAGACTAGGAAATTAGGATACTTAGTGTCTTCTGTTGCAGGATCTAATACTTAATATTAATCATTTGACAAGACTAAATATAAATATTCTTCTGATTAAAGACCTGTAAAGAACTGTTTTTGTAAATCCTTATGCACAGGCTTATTTTGAGCATGTGAATTAATTATCCTGACTCACATGCTGCAAAATGGGCGTGCTTGTTATTATTATGGTGTGGCATAAGGTATTCTTTTTAAAACAAAACCAGTTATGTTTCAGATTATAGCTAAGTATTTCCTGGTGTTTGCAAATAATGTACATAGAAATATTTTTTTTGAGCAGCGACTAATTCAGAAGATACTCAAAAGGCAGAAGACAAGGTTTTAAAAATCCACAAAATTCTTCTGCAGTTGGAGATATCACCTCTTATTAAAAAGCAGTAAAAGATACATATTTTATATAAGATGACTAAATGATGTAAAATGTATCTGGTTAACCTTTTTTTAGGTTTTTATGAAAACCTTTTTAATATGAAAGAATCCGCATGACATTGTTCAACAGAARGTGACTTTTGAAAAGCACGACTCCCTTCAGTGCGGACATCAGTGGTATAAATAATCATTACTCCCAGCGAAAAAGTCATGTAGCCTTCTTACAAAAAAAATTACCTGAAAACCTGAGGTCAGAAGTGACTCTTTGTTCGTATCAGCTGAACACTGAAAAACGATGCAAAGTGATGTAAATCAAATTTACAAGACTGATAACCATGCAGTTGGGGGGTTAGAGAGAGGAAGAAGTTATTGCACAACCTCTGTTCTGTCAAGGTAATGTAATTATGGACGGCCATAGTTGAGTGTAATTTGTTAACGTGTGCTTTTTGCAAAGGGAGAAAAATTCTGCTAGAGCATTGACAATTTCATACTTTTTTTAGCAGGATGCTGCCACAGGAGAGGTATTTTCATTGAATTTCTTAATGCACAGTCGCCTGGAGGAAGAATGTCAAAGAAGTGGCCAGCAGATTTTTTTTAAGCTGTTAGAGTCTACATGTAGGAAAGTACCTGTTTGGGGGAAAAATCCTGTTTTTTATGAATTTGAATATATAAAAAAATGAAGGTGTTAAATTACCATGTAATAATTGGGAAATCACTTTTTATAAAGTATCCCTCTGATATCTTAAATAGTCTTTTGGACCATCATGACTGTAATTTTCATTATAACCTTTTTCAAAAACAGTGATGAAAAAAATTCAGATGAATATGCCTTCTTTTTTCCACTCCCTGCTCTTCGSAAGTTAGTCTCAGGGAGGCAGCAGTGAATCTTAGCTCTTCTGGTCAAGCCAGAAAAGACAGAGAAGCCGTGGCTGGGGTAGAGGCAGAGCTATGGGTTGCAGTCCTTGCTCTTTTTCTTCTTTACCCTCTTGGCACAAACTGTTCTGGAGTTTGTTCCTCCTCCCGTAGGCGCTGCCTGGAGAGGCCGGCCGCCCTCTCTGGATCTTGCCGACCTTCTTTACATCCGTAGATCTGTTAGAAGGGGTGGGACCGTTGTACCTTTACGTAGGATTAAGATGAAGCTGAGGAGGTGCCCGCCTTCAGGAGCCACATCCAGGGAAACTTAGAGGCCAAATTACTGATGTTTCAGTGAAGGGTCCTCACTGCAGAAGTGGAAGACTTGAGGCAACCCTCATAAGCCCTAGCAATGGGCTAGAAACGTTGGTTCTTCCTCAAGTCTGGGCCCTGGGTTGTGTGGCTTGGCCTTTCCCCGAAGTCGAGGCTGGAATTTCACCAAAGAGCCTGTTGATCCCATGGAGTTGTCCAGGAAAAGCAGTTATTCCTGCATGGCCCGGCAGGCTGGCTGCTAAGGAAGTTGACATTTTATCATTTCTTTTAAACAGTACTATAACCTCTTAAATTTTGTAGATGATAGGCCCTTTTAAAGAAGTATTTTGGACAGCCTCTTCTGTCATTCGAGGGCAGATGGGAAATCCTGGATAACTGGAAGGGGGCAGTAAGGAAACACATTTTATCTGTCATCCGAACATTAGCTCAGTTGAAGTTGAAGTAGTGCAAGAGATGATCCTCCTCCTTACTTCATTCCAGTGCGCTCCAGAAGGAAGTGTGTGATGCATGGCATTTAGAAGTGATTTTTCTTGAGAGGGACCTTTAGGTTTTGAAGCTAAATAGTTTGTGCATGGTTTAGCACAATATAAAAAGCCCAATAACTGAAATGAGGCATAAAGCGTCATTTCATCTTCACTGTGTGCATTTTAGCACAACCTTCATAACGATGTTTTGCACTTGTATTGCCCATACAATCAAAATATTTCATAATGCTTTGAAAACATTAAAGAACAATCATTGGTTTTAACACCGTACTTCCGCTTTTAACCTATTATATGCAATAACCCAGAAGATGACAAGTGAAAAGAAAGTAGGGTGAGGAAAGCAGAACTGGGGGGCAGTTTGTGACCCTGTGCCTATCACAGCATTAGCTCCACAGTTGGTGTTACCAGCAGCCTGCTTCGTGGGGCGTCTTTCAGATGGCAGTCGAGTTAGGGGGGATTAAACCAGGTAGCTCTGAAAAGGCTTCATGAAACATGTGTGGTGCATCGAGCAAATTAAAGACCACAGAAGTGTAAAGTGATTGCTTTGGCTTAGTTTTCTCTTGTGAGGAAAAATACGTGTTTTTACAGATGAGGATCGAGGCAAAACAAGYCCGTAAGTGACCACGTGAGATAATGCAGCTGTATCTTAATGTGTTGGCTGAACTAGGAATAAAAGTTGCAGTCTCTACACTGGCTTCTGACTCTCTGCTTCCCCCCCCATGATCAGAGAAGGTGCAGGAAGCTCAATATTTTGTGATTCTSGTTATGCCAAGATTCAATTTATTGAGCATTTCCTCAGTTTCTGATGATTTTGATTTGACTGAATACTTCCTTGCTTGAAGTGTAGCACTCTGTACATGTCCCAATGGAGTTGGAATGAAGGGCACCACAGGATATGGGAGAAAACAGTGTGATGGTTTGGGGGATTTTTTGAGGGCGGCAATTTAAATGATATTAAAAATTTCTGTCTACCTCACAGGCATCTTAAATAGGAAAGTCTTTAGTCTTATTTCTAATGGTGATAATTTCTGCTAAGGTCTCCTGTCACAGGCTGCATAGGGAATAGCTGTCAAATCTGAACCTCTCCTATCAGGATTGCAAGAGCTTTGTGGGGTGAGACTTGTGAACTGATTCAGCATCCCACATTCCTTCTGCATAGGGACCCTGGACGTACTGTTATATGGAGTGGATGTATGGAATATGTGGAATTATATGTGTGAAGTGTAACAACAGTAACAAGTCATTTTTTCTGCTTCTGAGTGTTTGTTCTTAATGCTTTTAATAGCGCTTTTAGCTCAAGTGGGCTGCTTTTTCATCTTTTATTCTTGGTCTTGTGTCCTTGTGTTTTACAGTGAGGTTTAGAAGCTGTGATGGAAACAAAAAAATACACTTTGGAAGCAGCGACCCAGAAGATTTCAGGGTAGGTGAGGATGGGGTGGTCTACGCCGGGAGAAGCTTCCAGCTCTCAGCAGAGCCCACGGAGTTCGTGGTGTCTGCTCAAGACGAGGACACCCGGGAAGAATGGCAAATGAGAGTGAAACTAACCCCGGAGCCTGCCATCCCCGGACCTCCGGCAAAGGTGAGAAGCAGCAAAAGGCTTCTCTGCATGGATACATCTCAGGAAACGGGTCCCAAAATAAGAATTTGGTTCTGTCTTTCATGCATTTGTACAAGAGGCATTTGGGTAACAGGCAGCATGTGTGATGGTAAAGCTGTAGCCTTAGAAAGAGCTCCCATGGTTGATTAATTTGTAGCTTTGCTAAGACATGGAAACCCATGTCTGTTTAACTATATATGATACGTTTGAGGGTTTTTTTGTGTGTATCATTTGAGATTTATACCTGAATTTAAGCTGGACATGGTCATTTCTTTATTTTAAATTGCTTGAAAGCATTACAGTATTTATTCAAGCAAATATAACCACAAAATAAACAAATCTCTGCTAGAATGCATTAGTCAAGTTTATTAGATGGGAGCTGTAGATTTACAGCAGCAGTAGGAAAGCATTTCTGGCATGGAATATTGGCTTTGTCTTGTCCCTTCATAATCAAATTGGAGGCTGTAAATTATTCATGATTTCAGCACTACTTGCTAAGGAATATAGTCTCCCTCTGCTGGGAGCTGACATAGAATAAACCAACTGCTGCAACACAAATCAGACCTCGTCACATACGAATAATATATTTACTTTAGGAAAACAATATTAAATCTACTGTACTTGTCTGTTATATTAATTGCTGCCTGCTGTTTCTTAGCTTCTCGTACAAAGAGCTTAAATTGCAAATAAAGAGCAACATTTGTTAATGGATTAATATACCTGTAATAAATACAGATTAAAGATTTAAGCGTAATTTTAAAATAATGTTATTATGCAAGACATTTTTCTGAGCATGCACTGGAGAGCAAAGCTGTATAATGCTCTTTTATTTTGTTTGCCTCTTTGCTCATTGGTTTTAGTCTTGTAAGGGAAATTTTCAACAAAGAAATCCTGCAGTTTAGTCTGTAGCAGATGCCTAATAAAAAGGAGGTACATAGATATGCAAGGGCATGCCCTGTTCTTTGGAAAGATCCAGCTCTAGCATCCTTAACATCAGTGGAATATAGAGTAGGGGAATCTGGCCTTCAGTTGTGCTTCTGTTTTTAGTCTCTGACACATTTGATTAGATAAAAAACAATGTTTTTTCTCTTAAAAGATTTGGAATGTGTTTTTGTCTCCCTCTCTTACCCTCCAGCAAGCTTGCGTGGCTATATGCATGCTGGCATCCAGAGTTAAAGGCTGAAATGACTGCAGATATAGAAGGCAATAGGAAAGGAATGTTGACACCCAGCAGAGATTAATGCCCAGTGTGTAAAGTGGGTCATCTACAGCATCCATCATGGCTGACATAGGTTTAAAATAATTACAGCATTAATTCTATGGGATTTAATAGGGTCATAAATATTTGAGACATTCCTTACCAGTATGTATTAAACTTCTCTTGGAACTCAAATTATATTTTAGCACACCCAGATCTAAATTTAATGTACAGTAGCACATTACCTGAACTGAAGTTCCAGCTAATGAGAAATACATAAAGGCATACTATTAAATTCTGCAAAATATTAACTACATTCYGGAAAGTGCAGAGTGGTTTACACAGTAGCACTATGTTATAAATGGCTTATAATTCTATTTTTCCTCCAACTGGAATAAGGGGGGAAAGAAAGCTCTTAAAATTTCACAGTACGGTTGTAAATAATATTACTTATTTTCATACTGCACTGTGAACGCAATTAAAAAGTTCCATCAACAGAGAGGAAAGGCAGCCTTTCAGTCAATTAGGTAATTGTCCAAATGATTTTGTAACATATACTAGCAATTCTTTTTCTAATATGGGTTTAATCTCATCATTTACCTGGGAAAGGACTACAAGAAAATGGAAGACATCGTATTTCCATGGCAACAGTATAAGCACAGCAGCCATCTGAAGAGGCAGAAGAGGGACTGGGTTATCCCACCCATCAACTTGCCAGAAAATTCCAGAGGGCCTTTTCCTCAAGAGCTCGTGCGGGTAAGGGCATTGGCAGGGACGTGGGTTTCGGGATCCTGTGCAGGGTCCTTGAAGAGGCTTTGGGAACGATGTGTCCTTCTTAGCCCCGTTTTGTTGTGACCAGCATGTCATGGAAGGTGTCCTTGGCTGTGGCGGTGGCTGCCCTGATGAGTTTCTCCTGATTAAGGAAAATTAGCTGCCAGTTCAAAACTGTCCCCAAATGCTCCAAGCGTCTGCCTCTGGAGTCATCTGCTTGAGGCCATGTGTGGGAACGAGTGGGAATAGCAGGAGGCAGCTGGATGTGACAGTGAGGCCCACGAGCTTGTTAATGGCCCTGCATAGTGCAAAACTTGGGAGGTTATTGATGGAGCTGCAGCATAGGCAGTAGGGGAGGAGAATCTGTAGCTTTGCTCTGGGAAGACACAAGGGATAAACAAGCTTATTTCTCAGAGTTTTGGTTTATTGTATTTTTTTGTGTACTGCTCTAAGATCTAAGCAATTCTGTTTAAGGTAAGAATACTTGTTTATTTTGTTTTAATACAATTCTTCTGTTCTGAGAAATAAATTGGACTAGTTTTATGGTTCTGAAAATCCACTGACTGGCTTCTTAGCAAAAAAAGAGAGCACAGCTGAAAAGCCCAGGTGTTGTGCTAACTTTATAGCATTTCCATAATAATTTTTTACAACTTTAGCCTGCAGATTAAAAAGAATAGAACACTGTCCTGCTGTCTCAGCCACAGTTCCAGCCACTGGCTGTTCATAACTGATGAAMACATTGTTTTTTGACCTGCAGATTAGGTCCGATCGGGACAAAAGCCTTTCGCTGCGGTACAGTGTGACTGGCCCAGGAGCTGACCAGCCTCCCACGGGAATCTTCATCATCAACCCCATCTCGGGACAGCTGTCTGTGACGAAGCCTTTAGATCGGGAGCAGATCGCGTCCTTTCATGTGAGAGTTTTATTTACTATAAATCAGTTTATCAAATTSAAGGTTAACATCTGCTTCATACATGACTTAAGCAGCTGGCATAGAGTTTTCCAAGAGATATGACTTGAAGAGTTTGTAGCAGATTTTTATTTATACTTACTTACTCAGGCTATTTAGTTTAAACAGGTATTAAACGTATTTAAACAGGTTAAATAAGTTAACATATATAAGCAGTGATTTAATTTATTTAGATAAAGTAACTATAAAGGTTGAAGTATGGATTCTGTAGCTTGTATTTCAAATATAGGCCATTGATCACAGTCTCTACTGTATTGCATATTTGTAAAAAGTTTACTTTTAATACAGCAACTTAAATTAGGACATGACTACTATATGACTACTGTAGCAGCTGTAGTTTGAGAAATGGATGGGAAGAATAACCTACCAATTTTCGTTTCCAGGGGCATATCTAAGCATTTTAATGGAATTGTAAATTAGGTCTGTCAGCTTATGAAAATGATATTCTTTGCTCTAAAGGAATCGACAAAGTAGACCAAGGATTCAAATGTTGGCAGAAAAGAAAGATTAAAAGAAAGGGGGACACCAAGCTTTGACCTGAAGTTGTCTCCTGGTTTTGAGATAATACATTGAAATTTTTATGGAAGTCACTGAATACTAGAGAGGGTTTCCAGCACATCATGGTGTAAAAATACCCCTTAATTGGCTTTCTGGGAAGCCTTCTTCATGGAGGATGTAGCAGATGACATTTGTGGATGAYTCAGGCTATTGCAAGGGCATAGAACCTCCAGCATTCCTGAGGTTTTACTGATAATTTGGCATTGAGAAACAAAGATTTAGTGACTTGGGACTGAAGGATTAGTGATTTCAGTGACTTAATGAATCATTTGCAGAGGTTGGGGGTTACCTGTGCCCTCTTGCCCTTGTTTGTAGTCTGGAAATGTATAGTGGGCCTGCCCACAGGAGCAAGTTGCTCTTTTTTGCCTAGCATTTGGCAGGCTGAAGCGTGGATGTGTTAAGATTTTTAAAAAATACTACAATTCTTTCTTATTTGGCTGTTCATTTTTATGAACATTTTTATGATTTAGGTAAACCTGGCTGTCAGAGGCAGTTGTTCATTCCTTTTAGACAATCAGGGCATTAAATTTAAGTCTCAAGTGTCTCTGAAACTGGGACCATAAGCTGTAGCCTAATTTTAGCCAGGAATTTTCAGTGTGTTTACTGACAGTGATTTATCATAAACTTTACTTCAGTGCTTCAGATAACACAGATCAATTCCACATGCTTTTACTTGAAATCACTTGAATGTGATACCAGTGTCCATTCCCTGTAGGCTGTTAGTAAGATCTATCTGCTGAAGTTATCTGTTTCATACAGATCTGCCTGTTTCTGGGAGTCTGATTTCTAAGACATTATTAGAAACAGAATTATATATGACAACTTACTTTAGTATTACTCCAAATTATGTTACTCAGAATCATTAAAGCAAGTCAAARTAGTGTGCAATTTGGAATAGATTAGAAGTTTGAACAGCACTCTGTTAACCTGAAAGCTTAAATGATCAATACAAGGTAGCAGAGATACCAAAATACATTGGGCTAAAAATATGTAGCCTGAAACTTCATATCACTGGAATATTAATTATGCCACTGTTGGTATCTATTTATGCCTCTGTGTTCTGCAAGTTCTAATACTTCATAATGATTTTTGCAGCTGAGGGCACACGCAGTGGATGTAAATGGAAACCAGGTGGAAAACCCTATTGATATTGTCATCAATGTCATTGATATGAATGACAATAGACCCGAATTCTTACACCAGGTTTGGAATGGGACAGTCCCTGAAGGATCAAAGCCAGGTAAGGCGAGGGCTTTTGAAGTGCAGAAGAAGTGTTTTCAGATCATGTAACATTTTAATGTACTGAACAAAACCTCAGACACAATATTATTTCATCTTGTTTTTAATTCTTGTTTAGCATACTAGAATTATTCTCATAGAGTCATGTATATATAATCTGAGACAGAGGAAGGCTTAAAAACATGAATTCAAGGTTCTGCTTTTGAGAATCTGATTTAGAATATCGTAGTTCTTGCTGCTTGTTGGCTATCATAGTTYTTACTGCTTGTTGGCAATTCAATTAGTTGATTCAATTAGCTGATAACTTGCGGTGTATGATATTTCCCAAATGTCAGCACCCTCAGATCTAATTCTGAATCTTTGAGGCTTTGGAAATACTAGATTTGAAGTCAAATATTTTTGTTTGAAATCTGGAAAAAAAATAAAGACTGTRTTTATATCTTATTTAAATTCTAATCAGCTCATATTTAGTACCATGCACTATGGTTGACGTCAGTTTCTTCATTTTTTCAGTATTACAAAATTAAATTTTTAAGAAAGTTAACACAAGAAGTGTATCTTGTTATTTTGCAGTGTTAACTTATCACTTGAGGTGGAATGTGTGTCTATAAAAGACCTCTAAAAAATATTATTTACACTTGATTTTCATTTGGTGTCGGTATGTGCACCAGTGCTGAAAATTAAATGTATTTCCTTTGGCTCAATTAATAATATTTTTATCTAAACATGAGAAGCTGTGTTGTTACAGAAATGTTATTTATGGCAGAATTGTAGGATTTCATTGTTTATGAAGCTTCTTCAGTTATAAGCAAATCTGATATTTTATAAACACAAAGTATTTTTATCTCCTCTTATGTATTTTAATTTCTCTATTAGCGAGTCGTGGTCCTCATCGGTTTGTTTTAAGTAAGAGAAGGAATGTGTAGTGTTTACCAAAAGAAATACATGCTTGACCAGACCATTTCTTTTCTCTTGTAAGTGACCTTGTGTAATCTGAGGAAACTGTTTATATAACATCAATTATTTATCCTGCTGTTAGGAACCTATGTGATGACAGTTACTGCTATAGATGCTGACGACCCCAATGCACAAAACGGGATGCTGAGATACAGGATCTTGTCGCAGGCCCCCAGCAGCCCCTCGCCAAACATGTTTACAATCAACAACGAGACCGGTGACATTATCACCGTYGCGGCTGGCCTTGACAGAGAGGTAAGGCAAGTCTTAATCCCATAGGCTAGGTGGTATTTAATACTGTGAAGAGGCATGTGTTTTGCTAKTTATTCACATTTTTTTCTGTGTTCCCCCCCGCCTCCAAGCCTAAACTTTTTCCTTCCTTCTCCCAGCAGTGGCTGGTCAACCTGTTTTAGCACAGAGAATAAAAACCCAGGAAAGGAAATGAACATGAGTGAAAATTATACTCATGCTTTTCTCATTGTAGTTTCCCCTCATTGTGAGGGTCACGGAAAGAGTCTTATCTGAAAAACCTGCCTGCTTTTGAGCAGGTGAGCAAGGCGGGTGAGGACTTGAGGTTCTGGCTCTGAAATGGGACATTCTGCTCCTGAGCTGCAGCCCACTCTAGCTGAGCGCCACAGACAAGGAGCACTTGGGAAATGGCACTGTCGGTTTCCAGAGATCCAGGAGAGGAGGCCCAGAGGGACTGACCTCCCTCTGTCCTATTCTGAGCTCTCCAAAGGGATGTTGGAGACTTTCARTCTTCTGCATAATGTGTTGCTAAATTTGCAGTGATTACCTAATGTGAATTTTTTTGTTTCAAATAATCAAGGAAAAAGTCACTAGTTTTTAAAATGTGGAAAGCATGCCTTTAAAAAAAAATACTAGTAGCAACTGTGCAGTTAGAAACTGGAGGCCTAGACATACACTAAAAAACTTTTCTTTTTTTTTTTTTTTTTTTTTAAATTTGTCTCCCGTCAGTAATTTCTTTCTATGTCATGGGCAAGTCCCTTTCTGTGTAGACTCTTCCTCACTTTTCCAGGCACCAGAGATGGCGGCTGTATAATTCTCTGCTCTAGTTCACCCATCTGTGAGATGGGAATAAAAATATTTCCCTCCCAACTTCAGATCTGTCACGTGGACTGTGTTTTTGAACCACTTTAAACTTCAGAAGAGATAAGCATTATTTTATAAATAAACTATAAAGTCCAAACAAATCTTTTTTTCAATGTATCTTTTTCAAGTTCTGTTTTACTAACCTCATTTCATGTTATTAAATCTGAAGGATTTTTTTAAACTGGATTTGCTGTTCAGCTTTTATGTGTTTGCTTATTTAAAATGGAGAACAAAAATACTTTCTGATGTTCAGGGTTGGCTATTAAACTGCTGCTGCACTTTGCAGTTTGCAGGTGGCTATCAGCGGATTTAGAAAGCTAAACAAACTGTTAGGTATTGCAGTTAACTTTTAAACATTTGTTAGGTTAACTTTTAAACATTTATTAAATTAAATTCTGTTTAAATTGGTGTWGAAGAGGAAGGCTTCGAGGAATGGAAAACACTGAACTTTACTGTACTGCCATATTAAATTAAAAGAATAGTGGGCATCTTTTCCCATGGTTTTAAGATCCTCTGGTCATCCTTGACAGGTGAATTTTCAGAGGGCATAGCAATAACTCAGAATTTTATGAAGTGACTAGCTGTGCCACGGTGCTTTAGCTCAGAAGAAATTGTCTATTAGAACTTCCATATAGGCTTTCCTATGAAAAGTTGGAGAAGCCTTGTTTTTTTTTTTTTTTTTTTTTTGCTGTCAGTTTGTCTGATCACTGAACTGATAGCCAAATGAATATTTATATGAATAGTCAAATAGCCAGATTTATATGGCTATTTATATGGCAATATATAGCCAAATGAATGTTTATAAACCCTTCTACCACATTTTTAATAATGCTTAATTTTAAAGCATTCAAAAAATAATAYAAGATAGAATGACTTCCTTCCCAAGTTGTTTTTGCTTCCATCATTTCCTGAGCTTTTTAGAGTCCACTAAATTACAACATGAGGAGTCCACAAAGCCAGGCATGAGTCATGCAGGTCTTGTGACAATGAGCTGGGCAGGGCCCTGTTGCCTTCTGGCCTTCTCTGGAGATGGTGCCGGGACCCTCCTCAATGGGGTACTCCCTTTTCTCAGAGTCAGGCTCATCTCTGTAGAGCTCTTACTGTGATTTGAGACACAACTTTAATTTCCTAAATTAAGTGATGCTTTATGAATGTGAGCATAAGTGTCTTCCCACATTATCTGGTGTAGACATGCAGGGGAGAAATGAAGGGGCTGCTCTGATGACCTCGTTCCTGATCTGGTAGTACTTTAGGTGAACACACAAAATGTCTGCACTAACAAATACAGGAGAAGAGCTGTTACCGTATGAGACTTGGCTAATGGCAGAGAAAATCTTTCTTTTGCTTTTCCAAAAGATGGTCCTTCATGAGTTTCAGCTGTTTCTTATTTCTTTAGCTATTGTTATGGAATTCACATCAGCATTAAAACATCTACCTTACTGCTGGAGGTGCAGAAGTCATCAGGCAGGGCATTCAATTTGCACACGGGCATTCCTCTCTCATGTGAGGTTAATTCAGGGAAATGTTCTTTTTTTGGCCTATGTTGGAGCAGAAAGATATGACCCGATGAAGCCTGTGTTCTTTTCTGAAGCTGCCAGTTCATTTTCAAATTTGTTGCTGCATAGTCTCTGTGCAGGCTGCTGACACATGCCCAACTGCTTATTCCTGGCTGCTTCTCAACTCTTGATATAAAGAGGAGAACCATCTCCCTTTGCTTCCCCATGCTTGGAAAGCTGGTCTATGCTGTGAGCATGTTAACTTTCCAAGTTTCATCCCCATCAGTCTATATTATGTGTTGATCTTGCATGTTAATGTACGCAACTCCTGGAAAAATAAGTGCTTAAAGTGGTGAACTATTGGGGCAAGCTGCTGAAGCATATACAGGGGTATCTAGCACACTTTTCTTGGGATTAAGTAGGACTGTGTGAAAGTTGACTTGCTGTGTAATAATAATGGAGTTTTCTGTAATGAAATTTGCTCCTTGGGATCAATGTCTTAAGGAACAGATGAACCCAATACACCTGCTGTTCCAATAACGTAAAATCATCTGGCTGCAAGATTTGCTTCAATATCGCTCTAGATTTTATTGCTTCACAATAAATCACGTACTTTTTTATTAGATAAAAGCAGTAAAAGTATTTCTTTGATTCTGGTGTTATTTCTGCCCTTGTTTCTAGCACAAAGGAAACCTTTTGGGTATTTATTTCAGCCTTTAAATGTCACTTGGCAAGCTGATTTCCTAAAGTAGAATTTGTATGCATATTTGTTCATTGTTAAGCTAAATGTTATATTTCTTTATTAATGCTAATATCTGTGGTCTTATTTTTCTAAAATACTTCCATAAGAATTAACCTTTGTGAAGCTCATATTTTAAGCAGTAGGAGAAACATGGTACTGAATGAAAGCCTTTTAACTTTTCTTCAAGAATTACCGTTTTGCCAAAAAGTTTTTTAAACTGCTTCCGTAAATCATTTATAAAAGTGATATTTCAAAGTAATATCAATTTCTTAACTACTTATGTTTGTGGGGTTTTTTTTCTGAAAGAACTGGATTTAAGGCAATAACACTTAGCTTTCCCTGAGCTAGAAAGTGCTAAAGTAAAAATGATAAATTAAAAGGCACACATGATATATACATCGCACAGTAGAAGCTGTAGGTGAGTAAAATCCTCTTCTGAGCATCTCTGCATAAGAAAAATATCTTTCTAGTTATCTGAAAACCCACCGCCCGTCCGCACGGCTTTATGTAGCTGACCAGCTTGAGGTCAGCTCTCAGTTGGGCATTTCTTGCTCCTAGAAACGAGACTTTTGCTTCAGCGCGTCCTGGCGCGCATCCAGCAGTGACTTCAGAGCAACGTTCCCTGCTCCAGGGCAGTTGGGAAAGGCGGACGGAGCAACGGACACCTGCGGCGCCGGGGGAGGCTGCGGGCGGGCGTCTCCTCTGGAATGCCCAGCGTTCATGGGAATAACGTGCTGGGTTCTTCCCTCCCCCGCTCGGCCCGTGCCCTCGCTGTAGCCAGTGGTAGCCTTGACATCTGCCGTTGCCATAGCAATAGCTAGACATTGCAACTGCCGCTTTGTACTTCGGATTGGCTGAATTAAACACCTCGGCAGTTACAGTCGTTGGGCCAATGGCTGCGCTTTGGCTGAGCCCTCCTGAATGCTTTGGAGGACTTAGCCTTTTGTTTTAGTGCAGAATTGGCCTTTTTTAAAATCTTCTTTACAAGAGTGTTGKTCAGTTTGCAGTGATAGTATTCGCTCTATAAAAAAAAAATATATTTTTCAGAGTGAGAAGTAGGCCCTCTGCCCCAGTCTCAGTGATATTTGAAAAAGAGCAAGCTGTTTAATATATTTAGGTACAACCTGCTACTGCATTTCTGCAGTATGAACTTTGGTGCTGTCATTTCAAGTGATGCTAACTAGAAGAAGCAGTGTGATCAGCTCATTGCTTAGTGAAGTGCAATTTAGGAAACACCTGCTGTCCTACGGTAATGTTAGTCTTGTCTATAACTTATGTTGGTGTCATTTTGTGTTTTAGAAAGTACAACAGTATACATTAATAATTCAAGCTACGGACATGGAAGGAAACCCAACATATGGTCTTTCAAACACAGCAACTGCTGTCATCACTGTGACAGATGTCAATGACAATCCTCCAGAGTTCACTGCTATGACTGTAAGTACTGGCTAGGAGTGACTGTAGGGTGTACATATTTATAGCCATTTCCCTCTTCTGTCATTATAGTTACTGATTGTAAATATTTATTACTTATTAAATAGTTCACAGCAGGTAGGGTTTAAATACAGGCAGATTATATCCCTTACATATGGCATTCTGCTTAGTCCAAAGGGCAAAACTTGACTAGGGAATCAATCAAACCATCGTTTTTTTCCAAGTGGCCTGAGGTAGATTTTGTTAGATAAATTGTCAGGGCTCCAGTGAAGTAAAAACGGGCTCTTCAGTGAGTTGAATGCCAGTCTGTTCAGTAGAGTGCTTGTGCTTTTGTGACCGTGCTCAATCGCTTTTGGGGGTTGTTTTTTTTTTTTTTTTAGTTCTATGGAGAAGTACCAGAAAACAGAGTGGATGTCATTGTAGCGAACCTAACTGTGACTGACAAGGATCAGCCGCACACGCCGGCCTGGAACGCCATGTACCGCATCACGGGAGGAGATCCGAGCGGGAGATTCACTATCCTGACCGATCCCAACAGCAACGATGGGTTGGTCACTGTTGTGAAGGTAAGAGTTGCTTGCAACTCACTGCATTAAGCAGAGAACGGAGAGAATGAATGTGAACCCCAGGGGCTAGTGTGAGACTCAAAAGTAAAATAGGTAGGCACTGTCTGCCTTCTTGTCTTCCTTGTGGAAGTAAGTCATTCATCTTTTGCAGCATGACCTTAGTTATGCCATCAGGAGTATTCTAAATGTTCAGTTTTAAAATTGGGTTAATTCGTTGGGTTTTGRGCATTTATTTGCCAAAAGATAGAAATGGGCCCATGAGAAAGCATTGGTGAATATTCATTGCCAGCATGAGCGAACGGCTTCCTCCCTCCTGGCCCCTGTTAGCGGGCCTGCTCCTTGTCTGCTGGTGTTATGTCAGAGTGTTCCCGTTACGGAACTGACACACATTCGACAGTCAAGGCACAATCAGAGGGGGAAAACKGATAGGTAGGAGGCTGCTTCTGCAAGAGGCTTTTAAAGACTGGCTATTTTTAAAACCTCATCTAAATGCCTGTTATGGAATAAGCTCTCTATCTTCGTCCTCTAATCAACACAGCTCTGTGTTGAGGGATGACTTGTTTCAAGTGATGATAACAATGAGGTCCTATAATTAAACCTGCCATCGGTGGCCACTCTTCCTCATGGCTGTCTGATAAGTGTCTGCTTTACGAGCTGGTAGGTTCTGGTTTTGAGCCATCCACTCAGGAAGTCAAGTATGAGATAGCAATGTTCCAGTCTGGAATTCTAAACATTCACATTTATTCCTATCTTTTCTTTTGTAATTATCTCACTAAGTGGAATGCATATATATGTGTGTGTGTATATATATATACACACACACATATATATGCATTCCACTTAGTGAGATAATATATATATGTATATATATATTGTGTATATATATATGTGTATATATATATACACACACACATATAGATATATATCTTCTGTCTAACTATAGTGATATTTCATACTAGTTTTTTTATAGAGCTGTCTCTGATCAGTCACTGTACTTCCCCAGAGGTTGCAATTGTTACATTACATTTTTCCAGCAAGAATTATGTGCGTGTCTGTGCTCTTTTAATTGGGCACATATCCATCTTTCCTAGATCTAAGAAGAGTATCAAAGTAGAAACCTCAGGAAAAATGAGTTTTAAAGAATGCTCAGCTTTCTAAAGTAATATATAGAGAAGCAAAATTAAGATTCTAGACTTCTAGTCTGTTTAGTTTAGCTTTACTCACATTTAAAAAAAAATCTATATCCTATACTGCTAGAATATATTCTCAGTGCTTTATTACATATGATCTGATTTAAAAACACAATAGCAGCCTGTCAAACAGGACGTATTCACACAAATAYGAGTCTGTTATAAGGAGGGGGTCAGCCATGTCACCTGAAATCAGATTCATGTTAAACAGCATAGGAGAATTACCTTGAYGTGGTAAATGCCAGTCCTACAGAGTGCCCAGCAGCTCTCCTTTAAGCACCCCTGCACAGAAGGTGTTGCAGTCTAGCTTACAGTTTTTCTTGTACTGCAGTGAGTTGATCTTTGATGTGACAAACTGYAGTGAAGTTCAGATTATCTACTGTTGCATACCAGGTGCCTCTTGTAAGATACAGGGCTCCTTCTAGTCTAGTATTGGGGCAAGCGATGCAGTGCAGAGTATTCATTAGAATCAGGCCTGCAGAAAGATCTCAGTCACATGCAGCATAAAAAAAGAACTCTAGCCTCAACCTGTTTTTCAGTCTTCCTTAAATTGGACTGCTTGTTTAGTGGGTAAGACCCCAAAATCAAAGGCATTTGGAGCCGCAAGGATACCAGCAGTGGAATTAGCTATAATTAGAGAGTCATGCTAATAAAATGTAAGGGCATGGGAACCTTAAATCTAGAAGTATAAGTTGTGTCTGTGGTTTTGTTTCAAGGAAGGGTTCGTTTTGACAGTATAGAAAGACAGGTGTCTCCCAGACAGAGAGCTCCCAAGGACGCATGTCTGCTCAAACAAGTGCCTGGCACCAAGCTGGAGTTGCCCTCTCATGAAGCCAGCTGCCTACCTGTTTTTCATTAATGGCAAGACCAGAGCATGTTAAGTCTTAAGAATGCCAAAGTGCTTCTAGCTCATCAAACTTTACAATTGCTACTGCTGCTAAGCAAAATCTCAATCACGCTGTGTGTTTAGGTATTACATGGAATACCTTCTCTACAGACACCACTCATTTTTATTGAGAAAGTAATCCAACACACTCTCTGAAAACTTGCCTTAATGTAAAAAATGTTACCATGTGTCTGTCACTATCGTGAGTAAAGGTTAACACTCCCTGCTCTTTATTTTTTTCCAGCCTATTGACTTTGAGACCAACAGGATGTTTGTGCTCACAGTAGCTGCGGAAAACCAAGTGCCTTTGGCTAAGGGGATCCAGCATCCTCCGCAGTCAACAGCGACCGTTTCTGTTACAGTCATTGATGTGAATGAGAGTCCCTATTTYGTTCCAAACCCTAAGCTTGTGCGCCAGGAAGAAGGACTGCTTGCTGGTAGCGTGCTAACAGCCTTCACTGCTCAAGACCCAGATCGTTACATGCAACAAACCTCCCTAAGGTAGTGTATAATATTGCAGTGATTCAGCAATTGGATGATGTCTTTCAGTTGTGAAATATTTACGTGCTTGAGAGTGAGTGGGTAGCAAAGTAACTGTGTGTTAAATGACTCCCATTTACTGCAACATACRGCTAGAGCAAAACACCCTGTAGCCTCTTTGGCACCTCACCCAAAAGTGAATTTTGGCTTTAGAGAAAGAGTGACCTGGCCAACATTCATAGGTGTGTATGTCAGAGGAGACTCTGGATTCATCTTCTAGTGCTAGGTCCCAGTTCATCAAGGTGCCTACGTAAGTATGTCTGACATCCCAGTGAATTCAGCCAGAGCAGATCCTGCTAGGAATTCTTTTTCAGTTTCAATTAACCAGTAACTTTGATACCATAGCCAAAGTAGGTCAGATTGTGGACCAAATTATAAAAGCTTTCTTACTCCCTGTGTATTCTCCAGCAATATAAAGTATTCTTGTCTGTCTGTATATTTTTGTACCGATAGCTGTGATTGATTGTAATCTGCGTAATGTCTAAAACTAATCTAAATTAGGCAAATGAAGAGGATAAAAAAATAAAAAACATAAAAAAGTGCTTTTGCCTTTCTTATTTAAAACATTGTTGCTGACTGCAGTGCTGAGGCACAGCTATGAGCTTTTAGGCCTGGAATCACTTGTAGTTTTTCCAACATCTGTTCGGCTTGTATATAAGAAAGAAACCTCAAAACTCTTTTTCTGGTTTTCCTTCCAAAATTAATGCTCTGATTTTATTTTTACTTTGTTTTGCTCCGTTTTGCTGGTATTTTGATCTTTTTTTGGACATAACTGTCAGAGAAATGATAGCATGAGGAATACCGAATATATACATTTTTAATGAGCTAAGATAGCTCACACTTGGTTAATGTCAAAGCAAAAATTTGTCAGATAGAAGGATGATTTTGAAAGACACTGTTATTTTTAAATGAAGATAAGAGCTGTGTAATAAAATGTGGGTCTCTAGAAAATTAACTTTAAGCAATATGAAAACTTCTAGAATAATGACAGTTGGTGCTACTAAGCACTATTTATACCTTTTTAACTCTYGCCATCTCTCCTGCTTTGAGTGCTCTCAGAACATAAAAGAACATAAAACTCTGTGTATGAAGGTCATGTAGATTTAGGCTACTATATAATTTGCTAAGTTATTAAGTATATATTCATTTTTATAAAAATCTGTTTATTTTTTATAAAATAGTAACTTAAATATAAAGAAAAGCTTCTTAAGTTATATGACAACTTGCATGGCAGGGGATTAAATCCTTCARTAAGATTCTTGAGTATGTGTTTTCAAGCATTTTAGCAATCAGGCTAAATAAATGGAATTTTTTAAAGCACTATGTCCAAATACCAAAAATGTGTGTTAGGAATACAAAACAAAATACTTATCTTGTCTGTGAAAAATGTCTTGCAATATAAATAACACTTCTATGATCAAATACACAGGTACTCAAAACTTTATGATCCTGCAAACTGGCTGAAAATTGACCCTGTTAATGGGCAAATAACTACAACTGCCGTTTTGGACAGAGAGTCAACATATGTGCAAAACAATATGTATAATGCAACTTTTCTTGCTACTGACAATGGTAGGTCTCACTGTTACTCGATATTGGTTGTGTAGGTTTTTAGAAGGCTTTATTTTGTGTATTTCAATGGCATTCTGTTTTGCCATGAAAATGTTCTTATAAAGTGCATCTGGTCAGAAGCTAAAAGCCTGTATAACTATCAGGTTTGATATATTTCTCACTACTTGCAAGATAGGCTGAAGAGTAATTTTGTGAGTTTGAAGAAAGACAGTGATTTATTTCTATTAGTTAAATCTAGGAAAACTGAAAAAGTCAGCAGAAGACTGGTTGCTTGAGTGAATGCACAGCCTGAGTGGAGTTGATGAGTTTTAGCATTTCTTTAAGGGGAAAAATATGCTGAAGGGCAGTGCGGGTTGCATATTTTTTCACACCCTGACTTCAATAGTGCAGGGAAAAAATTCTTCTCGATGTCAGTTTGTTAATGAAGATCTCTGCTCAAAAATGACTCCTTTGAGTTCAGGTGGAATGCTGTGCTGATTATACCTAGTAGCAGAAAGATGGAAAGGTATAATTAGGAACATTCTCACGTTAGAGGGGAAACCTGAAACACTGGAGCTRTTTACCTTGGAGAGAAGACAAATGGTAAAATTATGCAAACTGATGCATTGTAACATAGATCAGCTATTTCTATTCTTTTGGCCCCATTCTGGASAGCAAAATTAAATGAAATTGGAATAAGATTTATAGAAAAAAAAATGCTAATTATATTGAAAAAGTCAGTGCTGCATGTTCTCATAAATGTGTGAGTTTAGCAAGGTTTAAGGAAGCATATCACATTCAATGTGGATAACAAGAATGTCTGGAGGTATGAATCTGTGTGCTGGAAAGTATTAGAAAGAATTTAAATAGCACACTTGGGGTGAGAGGCGGTCGTAAGTATTCAAAGTTACAGAAGAAATTTTCCAAAGGATAAATTATCCCAATCCTATACTTTTCTCTGAAGCATTTGATGTGGACAGATTCTGAAGAGGTATCAAGTGAAGTGATTGTGTTTTCCCTGGTCTGTGCACACACAGGTGTTTGCTGAATTTTGCTGAATAGGGCGTTCTTTTTGTAAACAGACTCTAAGGATTGTGTGTTTACAGGAACAATTACAGTGCTAAAGTCAGAGTCCCCAAACCGAGCTGCACACGTGCGTATGGGGATTGATAAGTGTTGGTATTTTATCATTTAAACGACTTTGCAATTTCCCTTTCCTTTCCTTGAAGGAATTCCTCCAATGAGCGGAACAGGCACACTTCAGATCTACCTGCTTGACATCAACGATAACGCCCCTCAAGTGAATCCAAAAGAAGCCACGACCTGTGAAACGCTGCAGCCCAGTGCCATCAACATCACTGCCGTGGACCCTGACATTGATCCAAACGCAGGCCCGTTCGCCTTCGAGCTGCCCGACACGCCTCCAAGCATCAAGAGGAACTGGACCATAGTTCGAATTAGTGGTAATTACCATTACAGAAGTCCTGATTGTTTTAAAGGAACTATTGCACGTGCTTTTCAGCATTTTCCGTTGGTATTATTTCACAGCATATATTAATATAGCTAATAGGAATGGGAGAGCACCTTAGTGCGAGATCCCCAAAGGAAGAMTTTTTAAGAAAGAGATGTTCACAGTAGGAACTTTTCATCCCGTWTGTCATTCAGCAGGTTAAATAAAAAGTTGATGTAGAGCTAAAGACAGAACATTTTCACAGTTACTGTTTCCAGTCCCAATGAGCAACACATAACCTTTCAGTAAGTACCTTGTTTTCACCCGCAGGTGATCATGCCCAACTTTCCTTAAGGATCAGGTTCCTGGAGGCTGGTATCTAYGATGTGCCCATAGTAATCACAGATTCTGGAAATCCACATGCATCGAGCACATCTGTTCTGAAAGTGAAAGTTTGCCAGTGTGACATAAATGGGGACTGCACTGACGTGGATCGGATCGTTGGCGCAGGACTGGGCACCGGGGCCATCATTGCAATTCTGCTTTGTATCATCATCTTGCTCAGTAAGTAGGCGCTTCTSTTAAGCTTAGCACTTCTATTACATCGCAAATACCATCTTACAGAATCACAGAATGATAAAGGCTGGAAGGGACCTTTGGAGATCACTTAGTGCAACCTCAGTGCACAAGCAGGGTCATGGAGGCCATGTTGTACACGGTCACATCCAGGTGGGTTTGGAAGATCTCCAGAGAAGGAGACTCCACAGCCTCTCTGGGCAAACTGTCCAATGCTCTGTCATCCTCAAATTTGCATTTTAGTGCACTGAAAAAAAGACTAGGCAGTGATTAAAGACTCATGTCCGAGAATTGCTGCCATTTAAGGTCTTGGACAAGTATGAAGATTTTCTAATGGTAAAGGAGTAGGAGTTAGTGCGAGAGATTATTACAGCCTTTTCTGTAGATACATGACAGTTAAGAGCATGTTCCCCACTCTGGACTCTCCATCTGTGCCCAGGGGCACAAATTAGATCAGTGAGCAGCCAGGATGAAGAAATGGTTAGCCCTCAAAAGACCAGCCTCTCTCGTGCTGCTGCTACTGTGTGTCTCGACACCACCGACGGCTTGTAACGGTGCAGCTAAGGAATGCTCTGGTGCTATTTCTGTTGTGCTTCAGGTTAATGTATGCAGAATATTTTGTAATTTGGAAAGTAATACATCACAGACCTTCATATAAGGTCTGACAAGTAGGCAGCCATGCAGGAAAAGAGATGTGTATCTTTTAAGTACTGCCTAAAGTTGTGGTATTTTATTTTTGACTCTATTGCATTTAATAAAGGGAATGGCTAAACATCAGAAATAAGTGTCTGTAGTCAGTGTAGTAAATTGGATGTTAGCTCTCCTACACATTATGGTTAACTGATTTCTGATTGTTGTGGAACACAAGAAAGGAATTAACCCATTTAGAGTATGCTATGCAGTGGTCTAGAACRTACAGAATAATGAAAAAGAGTCTTTTAAAAGAAAAAAAAAGTCTTTGAGCCTGGCAAAGCCCATAGCTATATACAAGGACRGTACAATGACTTCTCTTGATACAAGATATTCTTAAAATGTTAAGTACTGATTTAACAGAGCCTTTTTGAAACAGCCAAATACTTGAAGGTATTTTTCATATAATTGCGTTCTAGATATATTGAGATTTCTTTCCATGAAGATGCTTCTGGTTATAATTGTAAGCATATCTACTGTTTTAGAAATTCATTTGCTTGCATTTATTCCCTGTTTCTCATTGTTTCTTCTAATAACTTGATTTACAAACAAATGGTATAATTGAAAAAAATGCTAAGATTAAAGCAAAGGTTAATGTAGCTCCAAATACCACTGACTTATGCTCATTTGTGACTGTTTTTGCCTCTGAACATAAATATAAATCTAAACTTGGGCAATGATGTAGTACATTCTGGTGAACTGCTGAGCCACATGYCTATGTGGATCCAAAAGCTTTGTGATACTCAAAGATCAAAGTTCCTAAACTAGGTGCCACATACTCTTGAGACATGATAGAAAGAATTTCCCTTGTGAAGCCCGTGGTTTATGAAGCTCAGTCTTTCTTATTTCCTTTTATTGCAAGTTTATTTTGCAGATGTGGAAAAGGCATGGGATTTTATGACCTGAATATGTAAATGATTCCCAAATTGTATATAACATTTAGCAGGTTAAGTTCAAACATCTCTTGCTCTGCCACATTTTAGAGTAAAAAAGGGAGAAGATAAAAARGAAAGAAAATATATTACATAGCTGAAAGTAACTTTAGATCAATCAAGTTTACTTCCAAACTATGAGTTTACTTCTAAGCCATGAGGAAAAAAAAATAAAGGTATATTAAATTCACTGTGGTCCAGTCGTGTTGCTTAGTATGTGTTTGCCRCTACAAATGCCAGAGGGTGTTCTTACAGGTTCCAAATGATAGTGTTAGATTTTAAAAAGGCAGCAATCTGTGCTGGAGGAAGTAGAGAACTGCCTGGCTTTGTGAGAAGCCTCAGGACTTCAGTCAGTTTATCTGCTTTACCTCACCCGAGCCTGTGCTRCCTGTATTTGTGCAGACTAATTAGCAAAAATTTGTGCAGACTAATTAACAAAATCATGTTCTGTTCTCAAGAAGAGTTTTAAAATGTTCTCTCGTGACTGAGCAGTCTCCTGACTGTTCTTTTTTGTGGCTGCTTAATATAGTAGCATAATGTTTTCCTTTTGACATAGTTCCTAGGTATGTGAGATGATGTGATTTAGTTGTTCCATCTCTGCTTAGGCTAGGYTAGCAAATGTACTAGTTGATAGTCTTCTTTAATAAACTCTCAGGAAATATCCCTGAGTTTTCAGGTAGAGCTCCCTAAAGAGGCCTGCTACTTCCCATAGAGGGTTGGGGTTGGCAGCAGCAAAGGAAGAGCTTGTCTGTCTTGAAAAGAAACCTGAACTAGTATCTTATTCATCTTGCATTAGTGAAGTGTCACACTGAGAACAGGTAAATTTCACGGTTCCGGTTTGTACAGCTTTCCATGGCAATGCTTCAGAATATGCTGTTACAAGACATGTTTTTGTGTTTTCCCTTTTGCAATGCAGTTTTAGTTTTAATGTTCGTGGTCTGGATGAAACGCCGTGATAAGGAGCGTCAAGCCAAGCAGCTCTTGATTGATCCAGAAGATGATGTAAGGGACAACATTCTGAAATACGACGAAGAAGGTGGTGGAGAAGAAGATCAGGTGAGAAACAGAATATGCTTTTTATGTGTAGGTTCATACTTTGCACTGCACTTAATCTACTTTTGTTTCTGATGATGTGCTATAGTGAGTAGAGAGTTTTTGCATCAAATACTTAAAACCACTAAGTAAAATTTCGTAAACCTGAAAGACCTCATTGCTTTCCCATGCCACTTTTTGCAGTTGTAGAGGTGTCAATTGCCTGCCTTCTGAATGAGTTGTAAAACTGGTATCTTGCCCGTTTACACAAWTTAGAACAGGCATGACATTCTGGTCATATTCCAACACAGGCAGTTGTATTTAAATGTAAAATAAAATCCACTGTCATTTCAGTCTTTAAACATCTTCACTCCTTGTCCAAGATACTGTTGTACCAAATCCTTAGTGGAAAATGGCTAGCACATTCCACTCAAAATATGATGCCTTTTTGGTGGCGGGGTTAGTGACTTTCTGGATGTTGGGTAATGTTGGCTATTGACAAATGGGCCACAGCTGGGGTGTCAGTTTGGAAGGTGTTTGTTTCAAGCAGCTGTCAGGGCACATCTTGTTTATTCAGATACCTTTCCAGTCAGGTGCCATATGCATTTACTCTCATATCACCTCCAAATGAACCATGGCTGATGTTGCAGAGGACGGGGAGTGAAGTGTATATTCTAAGAATAGCTTTGTTTTGCCTTTCTTTTCAAGTAAGTGAATTTCTAAGCGGTGCAATTTCTTTCCTTCAGAGGAGATTTATTAAGTGCTTTATGAGCATGACAAACATTAGATTTATGCATGTTATTAGTGGTAGAAGTAAGTGTAATAATTACAAAGTGAACAGTGCATATAATAGAGCCTAAGAAATTTTCCAGTAAAAAGCCTTGAAAAATTCAGTGTAATTCTCCACGCATCCCCCCAGTCACAGTCATCCAGCACTTCAGTTATCTGAGAAGTGTCTCTCTTCACTGGTACAGACATTTATAGCTTCCCTCTGTTCTTTTGTTTGTGTGCCTGGAATTTATGTTCCCTTTAGCGATTTTCACRTTTGTTGCATTTCCCAAGGTATTATTCCTAGTTCCTGGCTTTTCTGCATGGGTTTCTTTTTAAGCAATTTGCAAAGGAAACTTCAGCTTATGCAATTCTGGAGAATTGCTTATGTGGCTGATTAAGCTGAAGACAACCCTTTGAGTTTGTATGTATTCAAGTTGTTTATATACAGATAGCTTTGAGTACAAGAATCGCACCCAGTCTGTRCATCTGTTATCGCACAGATGAATTACAAGCTTAAAAACATCAAAAAACTGAGAACTAATTTTCCAGTTCACATATTCCCAGCTCTTGTCCACCCACAATTCTTTGTAGGAGGTATTTATCATTTTTGTTTTCACATGATTTGGGTTTTTAATTATAGTCCATGCAGTCCTCAGGACCGAGTCAGTAAAGGGCATAGAGTATTTGCTGCTCTTGGAGAAGGCCCCAAATCGTACCAAAATAGTGTTGGGAGAGGCTGTGCTCGGGAATCGAAACCATAGGGTTTTGTATTGTATTGTATTGTAGCAGTTCCACAGGGAGGACTAAAGACCGAAGGCAGTTTAGAGATGGTGCTGGGGCCTGCCCTGCRTCCATCCGGCCCCGGGCCCATCTCCGGTGAGTGAGGTGTCCCCAGGAGCTTTGCAGCCAGGGCGGTGCGGCGGGAGGCAGCGCTGCTGTTCGGTAGGAGGCCAACCTGTCCCGCGGCGTGTGACGGAAGGATGAGCTGCCAGCGGGTGCGTAGCAGTGGGGCTGCAAGAAATGGGCAGTGAGGGTCATTCCCCCTCTCCCAGTGAGCTCAGGAAGCAGCTGGAGGAGCTAGCTAGAGAACAGGGAGGTACGAGATCTTTTTTTTTTTTTTTTTTAAGAAAATTAAGTGACTTGTAGCCGTGACTCCTCTGCATACTTTCTTAAGATAAACTTGGGGGCCATGGCTGCGGATTAGGATGGCCAGCCAGGTGCTTCAGCAGGAACAGCCAGGCGCTTCAGCTGCGCTGCTCCCTGTGGGGAGCCTTGAGCGGAGCAGAGCGCGTTGGTGCCTGGTGCTCTGAAGGAGTGTTGCCCACCCCATAACTTTAACAAGTGTCTCAGGAAGAAAAGAGAAACCTGCACAAAAAGTGGCAAGCTTTTATAACAATGTCTCTAACAAACATTTTGTACGTTCTGCAGGTAAAAGATGGGAGCGGGTTTTCCTGCAGCTTCAAAGTCAGGAATTTTCTGCCTCTCCAAAACATTTGAGTAGAGAGCACAGGCTGTTCACCCTAGGGACTTAAATATCTAAAATGAATGACAGAAATACAATATAAACAATCATGTCTTTATTGTCAGAGAGGTGTTTTCAGTTTGTTTATGTTGATTTGACATTTTGCCTTGTAAAACCTGGATTCCTTTCTGTGCTTAATTAGTTGATAATATTTCATAGGTTCACATAATTGTCTCCCTGCTCCATGCAAAGAGGAAGAATTTTATTTTGATTTTTCTCTTATTTTTTGGAAACTTTACGTGAATGTTAAGAACTTGGAATACTAAGCATTTGAAATATTTCTGCGAGTAGCAATCACATCTTTGCAAACTGTGACTTAGCAAAGCCCTGCACCAGCAAAGCTGTTCCAAACAGCGCTCCTCGGCCATCAAGGTCTTTGTGTGTTTGTCAAAGTTAAAATAAGAGGCCTTTCCTCTCTAGTGTTCCCAAAAAAGCAGGTGAGACTACCATTAGGAATCCGTTTTTAGAATAAGGACTCACAGGTCAAAACCACCACCACTCTATTAAAGTCATGAAAAAATTATTTCATGTCAAACTTGCTTCCAGAAGTCCTCAGCGAAAGGCAGAGAAAATTCTTGATGTCAGTGCTCCTGTTCTGTGGTGCATGCTCCCCAAAAACATCAGCGCAGCTTCAGTGGCAGATAGTGCATAAGCACAACACCAAACTGTCCAAGAAAGTTTGTATCTCATGCAACCAAAATGGAAAGGAATGCTCAAAGTTTCAGCTGAATTTCAGTGAAAATAGCGTATTTTAACAACTTTAGATGTTTTCGTGGTGCATGGCTTTGAAAATTACTTGTTTCTAACAAGCAAATTATTTAGGCATCTTTAAGATCAAATGCTTTCCAAATCAGTAGTTTAGGACGTCTCATGGTTTCATATCACCTCATCTTTCTTTTCTTTATACCAAATATTTAGGTGCCGTAAGGGTTATATTTGGCAGGGCTAGAAGAGAAGTGATACAGTTTATGACTATTCTTATCCTGAACCAAACTACTTTCAGACTTCTGTTTTCATTTGGGGATTTTCTGTATTTAGAAGCTCTGCAGTTGGGTTTCTTACCTGTAATGGCAGACAGAGAAACTTGCAAATAACGTTCGTATTCTTCTCTCAAACTCTTCCTATGGAAATCAAAATAAAGTCTCCAGTAAGAAATTCGATTTGTTCCATATTCAGGCTAGTTCCTCTGAGTCATAGCAACTGTCAGGTGGAGTGCCTGTTTTTTTGGGGGGTGTATTTTTTGTTGTTGTTGTTGTTTTCTCCTCTAAGCTAGCACTTCTAAGAAATCATTATATTTGTTGTAAGAGAGCAGCTGATTCTGTCTTGGAGGCTGCTGGTGATCCCACCTGAGGCCTCCTGAGCTCCCTCCCAGAAAAGGGGYGCTTTGCTCGCTCTGCTCGAGTGGACGCTTGTGAGGAGGAACGAGGTTCTCGAGTGATTTGTCCTCTCTCCACAGCCCAGTCGGCTGCAGAGGCAACACACATTTGTAGTAGGAATGATGGACTGAGGGTTATGTGATCTCTATAGCACTTGAGAAAAATGCTTTTAATTCCCTCCGTCTGAGCCGGGAAGGCTCTAGAGCTGCTTGGTGTGACTGATGGCCGCCCACTCTGCACTGAACAGCGGTGCGGGCACCGGAAACACTCTGAATTTTTTTCATCTCAACTTGTGTTTTCTGAAAATGTGGGCAGTTAAAGTGGCTCTGAAAGTTTCACAGCACCGGTAGCATTCAAGGCATGAACATTTTTCCTGATATATGGAAGGATCACTGCTCTGTTGGCTGGAAGGCACTGCTGGACTAAAGGTGATATCCTGGATGGATAGCAGGARGCAGGAGAGGGAAGAGGTGCTCACAGATAGAAAGTCTGTGCAATTTATTCTTGGGATTTTGTGTTTAATATTTTTTCTAGTGTAATAATTTGGTTACCTACATGCAGACAATGGGTCACCAGTGGCTTTGGGTCATCATCATTCCTTTTTTTCCCTTGTGCTTTCAGTTATTTCGAGTTTGACCCAGGAGTTTTGCTCAAGGTGGTAGAGGGGGATGCATTACAGAATCACGGAATGTTTAAGGTTGGAAGGGACCTCTAGAGATCATCTAGTCMAACCTTCTCGCTCAAACGGGCACACCTAGAGCATGTGGCACAGGGCGGCATCCAGGCGGGTTTTGAAGACCTCCAGAGAAGAAGACTCCACAGCCTCCCTGGGCAGCCTGTTCCTGGCTTTACTGGCATTGCTGCCTGCTCTGTGATGAAGCGGATGTTTCTGGTTTAGGTGCAGAGTCTGAAGGTGGCAGGAATGGTCTTAGTTAACAGACTGTGTCATCGTGAGGTTGTGGTTGTAGCAGACAGGGGAGGTGTAAGGGACAAATGGCTCGTGCTCTCCCCTGACATATCATACCTTCAGTTTGTAGTCAGTTTTAACCATCAGACTGTCCAGCTTGCYGGTCAAGGTGCTCAAGCATTTAGCCTGTGCCCGCAGTGTTTTCAAGGCATAGAGGAGTYGCAGCCCAGGAGCATCATAAGTTGTTTTAACAACTGTATCTCGGCCATTGGTGTGATTTACATTGAGGCAGTGGGTGCTCGGCTGGGGAACTAGCAGCAAATGTTGACCTGGTAACTGTGGTGGATTTCTTCCATTTAATTGCCTTTGTAAACYTTTCCTGTAGTAAATTACAAAAGATGGTCCTCACATCTCCTTTGAGCCCAGTTCTGTAGTGTTCTGAATTTTA